AAAAGAGAGGTTCCAAATCAAAGGCAGGCTGATCTTGCGGTTACACCTTTCAGATGTGGCCTCCTGCCACACGCAGGACTATTTCGCCTCTGACAGTACAGAAATAAGGGCTCCCCAGCTGTGCCACCACCGGTGTGTTGGCTGCGAGGGGCAGAGGCTGTGGGGCTGTGTGAGTGTTGGGGGGGGTCTGCAGGGGGATAAGGAGTAGGCAGGCTGGGATGGCGCCTGGGGAGTGGGGGGTGAGTAAACGGCAGGAGGGCGAGACCTGAGCGTGCAGCCGTCAGGTATAGATCTGGGGGCGGCGGAGGGTAGTGGCTACGACAGCTGGGAGCGGGTGAGGACAGGGCAGTTGTGGTTGTGGGTGCAGTGCAGGGACACAACTTGGTGCCCAGAAAGGCCAAGCATATATTTCTTAAAATGGCATCAGCATCTCGATCTCCTCCAAAGCTGCGTTGAGAAGTCTCCTCTACCAATAAACCCAGCACTTTTGTCGTCTGGGTTGGCCAGTCAGGAGGGACAAAGGTCCAAAGGCTCCAAAGCACAATCTGTTGCCTGGAGCTCTCACACAGAGCCAGGAGCTGAATGTCAAGCAGCGGAGTTTGGCAGCTGTTCCCTCCGGCTATCGCCTCTCCTTGCTGCACCCAGGCCTGTTTGATGTAATCTGATACATTTTCCCATTAGCCAAGAACGATCATTCATGGCAAATCCACCATCCTGGACTAAGCGCATGCTACAGAGGAGGCAGAGGGGCTCGTGGTTGCCTCTCGTATAAAATTCTCTTCTGTGAATTTTCCTTCACCACCACCGCCTCCACACTGCTGTTGGTGGCACTTTGGTACACTGGGACAATGGAACCAAGGAGGAAGATTGCTGCAAGTGCTATAGTTAGGGGGGAAGATTCATTCTGACGTCCTACCAAGCCATCGTGGTGGGCTGTTCTGGATACTGGAGTTAGTTACACTTCACTAATTCCTCAAACCGGACCCCAAACCAGCTCTTTCAACCCAGTGGGACAAAAATGCTCTGACTTCTAGCCACGAACATCAGTGCTTGGTACCTGAATTTATAGGAGCCCTTACAGAAATTAATGTTAACCTAGATGTGCGATTTGGGCCTACAGCTGCCCGTGATAAATTCCTGGTTTTATCAAATGCTCCAAACCAGCTTGAAAATTCATCTATTTGAATGCTGCTTAGAGCATCACCAAAATTTGCAAAATATGTCATGTAAGAATATAGGTATTTCTTTCATTGTTGTTGGAACCTTGTCTGATGCACCAGGCGTTGCTTTCTCTTTATTGGGCTCTGTCCCCCTTGCTCCACTCCTCAAGCTGTCATGAAATCACCGGTCATGTAAATGCCTGCGCAAACGTACTGAATGTGAGCCATGCGGCGTCCATTGCTATTTATTAAACTGTGGTTTATATCTTTGGAGTACATGGTATTATCCTTTATGGATGTGGCTTTATCTCTGTTATTACAATATGGAATTAATTAAAAGAATATTAAAGTTTGTGTTTAAAAAATGATATTCCTAACTTTTATCTATGGAGGCAACATTTTCATATCCATTCTCTCCTAATGGCAGCATCCTTTGGGAAGATGTGATAGACACATTTAGGTAAATATTATTCCTCCAGCACACATGGTTTCCATTGCAATCACTCCCCTGCTGTTTCCTTCCAAGCACTTTCCTCTGTTACATATTCCACAATGGTGGCTGAAATACTGATCAGCGATAGCAGAGACAAATTGACTCCAGCAACTGGGAGTTTTAAGGGCAACAAATGTTTATATCTGAGTTTTGCATGTACCGTAGTTACTGAAATACAGTTTTTAGGTGTGCACTGAAATTTTCTCTGGCACTAAAAGTCTAAAGCTGCTTGAGGCTTTTATCATTTAATAAAAGGAGAGAACGAATAAAGATTGACTGAGTGAGATGGGACATAAAGATAGTGCACTACAACACAGCTGCATGGGCCCAGAAGCTGCAGAGAAGATGCTTGCTCCCGTAGCCTCCCCGTCAGGTTGTGAGCACCCAGGCTGCTCCACCCAGGCCTGGCGCAGAAGCTGCACCCGAGCGGCTCGCGAGCTGCCTGAAGCTTAGGGGTCACAAGCTGCCTACTGCAGGCTAGCAGAGAACTAATTCTACGTGCTTTTAAAGTGGCATGGCCATGGGAAAAGATTTCTTAGCAGATGGTAGCAGCAAGAAGCTGGGAAAAAGCAGGGTGGGAACTGCTTCTTTGAGTGACTGTAGTTCCTCAAAGGCACGTCAAGCTACAGCTTTATATCAGCAGGGTGATAAAACATTTTCCCTCCCTGTGCCTCATCCAGCATTCGCTGGGCACCATTGGACTGCAGTGGGATGTCACCCCAAATCAGACTGAAGCTGGCAGGCCCACCAGGCATAACGTGCCGTGGGGAGCTGCGCAGGGGTATGAGGAGAATCAGTGCATACGCTTTTACCAGTGTATTTGCAGCATCGTCTAAGTCTCTAGCACATGAACAGAATTGGACATGAATGTATGCCTGTGCCCTAGCGATTTGTCTGTGCTAGCGTGCTGAATGTGCTCACGGGGATCCAGGCTCTAAGAACGCGCCATCCCATTTGCAGGGGGTGGACTAAATGTCCTACAAAAGCCACTCGCTGTGGCAACAGTAGATAGAGCATTGGGATTCTTTGAAGCCTGACTTCCCTTTTTATTGATATTTTTATTAGTAGCATTTGTTAAGCACCGTGTGCTCAAAACTTTTGGGGCAGGATGACGTGGTTTCTGCTCCCAAGCTCTAACTGCAGGTTTGATGCTGGAACCTACATTTATACAAGCGACACTGCCATACCCTGCACCATCTGCCGAGGGGCTGAACCTGACTGCCTGGCAGGCAATCATACAATGAAAGCTTCATGAAAAAATCTGCAATGTGAAAGGAGCATCGCATGACTAAAATACACAATGTTGTTTTTACCAGGAAAGATTTCTAGGATGGGAAGATCTTTCTAACACAAACTGGAACCACTTCAACTTTTGCATTCTCTCTCTGTTTCTTCCTCTCTGAAATGACCCCGGGCTGGCCCTTGCCCTTGCTTTGGGGAATGTACTTCTGATTTGTATCTCAGGAGGCTGAGAGATATGGAATAAACTCTCATTACCTCTTGCTAATGTAAAGAACCACACAGCAGATGCCTGAAGCCCTGCTCAGTGGGGTCGATGTAAAACAATAGCGGACCCCTGGCAGGTCCTTCCCGTCAACTTCCACAGGACCCACTGTAATGGAGAGAGCGGTCTGTGGCTGTCCATTTAAAAAGCCTTGCCTTCACAAAGCCTGCAGCTATGTGGCCATCACTAGGAAGAGCCTTCTTGTTGTGCTAACTAGGAGTTCTCATTAATTGGTATCACTATCAGAGTCCCTGAGCCTCAGTGTAAGCAGCAGGGGTTATAGTGCATGAGAAAGCCCCCATGCAATGGCATTGCTGTGGGTTAACAGAGTTCTAACAAGCTGAAAGGCAAGATCTTGCACTAGGAAACACAGGACCAGATCATGAAAAACACAGCACAACCCCAGGCAAGAGCTCAGGCATCTTTAGTTGGGGGTACCCTGGCTGCTACAGGGGCTTGCATGGAAACAGCCACACCGCCGTAGGCTACAAGGACTCAATGGCAATGTCCCGAGAACCATCATTTCCACCCAGCAGTGTAGGCCAAGAGGAAAACTCAACGCAGCATCGCACAGAAGCTGCAGCATGGCTCTCCTGCACAAGGCCAGGGACCTTCCCTTGTGGGGAGTGAGGTCAGTGGTGATTTGGGCTTTCAAAGTGTTTTGTAGCTTTTTGTGCTACAGAAGAGGTGCCGTATGGTCACTGCTTCCAAGCTCTCCCAGGAGTGGCACATTACCTTGCCACCTCTTACAGCCTGAAATTATACTAACCGCCACCTATTTTTCAGAGGCCTCATCTACACTTTTAGTGAAGGGCAGATGCAGGAGGCTCTTGGGACCAGACTGTCTCTTCTATGCCTGTGAGCCTGCAAGCGCAGCCACAGAGCGTCCTCCAAGACCTAAGTGTGCAAGGGGCTCAGGCGCATTCGTACACTGCTGACACCACTCACAGGTTGTCCTCAGGAGAGGGTGATGACGCTCAGTGAGCTGAAGGTGGGGAACACTTGCATTTGTTCATTTGGTTGCAGTAAAGACATAGACAGTTAAAAAGAAAACCTTTTCACAGCATGCTTAGAATAAACATAGTCATTCTTTATCATACAGAGTAATGCCTTATACATAAATAATTTTAATGTCTCGCTCTTTCACGGAAAGTAACAGAGAAAAACCTTCAAGGTTGATACATGGGAGCTGGCATTACAAATCACACAGGGTCAGACATAAATCCTGCAACCAAACATCCTGGCATTTGGTTCCAGAGTTGACCTATACACTGCCTCCCTCCTCTGCCCTTGGAAGGAACTGAATCAGGACGCTCCTTGGAAGACCACCCCCATCATCAACCTCTGGTTATGGATCCCAACCCTGCAACCTCGGCCCTGTCGCTGAAATCCAGTCCTTTACGTTTGCAGCAGTAAGAAATCCTGGTCGGCAGCTGCAGAAGGAGCTGTTGCCTTCTCCAAGGTGCATTATCCATAGGTTTTCGGAGGTGACTGAACTAACTAAGCCTACCCAAGCCAGATCCCTTGCAGCTATTTCTATTTCTTGGCTGACAAGCTGGTTACTGAAGCAGCAAGGCTAGGTATTGCACAGTCTAGTGACATTTGACTAAAACTGGGAGTGTTTATGCGAAATAGCAGTGTGGGAACAGATAAAGAAGCTAGCAAGGCTGCAACGAGAAATCTGAGCTTTGATCAAGGAGATAGCAGCATTTGACTCTATCTGAGCTGGCAAGGAGATCCCATCCCAAAGCAAAATAAAATATGTCATTCTTTGCAACAGATGAAATTCTTCCTCCCAGAAGGTTTGTTCCTCCCAGGATCATAGTAAGTGATCTCATTGTCTTTAAAGTCTTTCCCCTGAGGAAGCTGATCGTTTAATATAGACTACAGCGTTAGCATCCGGTATTAAATCAGTTGGGCTACTCTGAAACGAGGCGAGTGGGCGTCCTGGAAAGGAAATAAAAATGCAAGTTTAATAGAGGAGATAGGTTCACCTTGACCCATGCTATTTATTGCAAGAGAGAGAGGAACACACTGCTTGCCCAACGGAGGGTCGGTCACTCCTCCCTGCCGTAGACGTGTTTTACGCTCCCAGTAAACTCCAGCTGCTCACCGAGTGCGCACAAGGAATGCAAAATCGGGCCCCAGAGGCTTTCACATCTTGCTTTGCTTTACAGAGTTGCCTTAAGAGGGACTAGCATGTTCCCACAGCTCTCATTAAGGCAAATGGCAAAGTTAGGCACTCTGCATTTCAGCCACACACTTTTGGCATCTTTGGCTGTACAGATGCCCTGTAAAAATGTGAGGAAGAAAAATTTCAGCAAGGGAAATGCTAACAGACCGCAGGCACGGTACAGGATGGCAGGAATCAGCATCTGAGCCAGGTGCTGCAGAAAGGATCTTCTGTCTGCATGCTGCTGCTTCTGCATCCCCACCGCTGTTTTAAGCAGGGTTCCTTCCAGCCAGGCACCGAACACGGCAGCTAACAGCCGCCCCGTGAGGCGGCCAGATGTGATGCATTAGGCACAACTCACACAATCCATTGCTGGTGTGAAACCAGCTCAAAGAGATTTATGTTGCATCAGTGTAAGTGCTCTTATGTCACTAGCTTGCCACATGCCAATTGCACACAAACCCACGGAAAAGGTGCATTTTTGGTAGTTTTGGGATCTTTTTTTATAGGTCATGTGAGCCGACAAGACGCAATTCTTCAGCGCCGTCACCGAAAACACTCATTTACCTCATTTAGTGTTTCACTTTATAATTAACAATATAGCCCACAATTGAAGTGTCAGCTAAATGAGGTAATTCATAATTCTGAAAACATGCTAACTGTAAGAGGCTGTAATCAGAGCTAATTACAGGGACATTTTGGAAATCCATTGGTTTGGGGCTTTAGTTTTGATAAAGGGGATAACAACTTGTAAGCTATGATTCTTTTAATTATAACAATAGTAACCACCTTCTTTTATATAGCTTCTTTCATCTCTAAAACCCCACAGCTTTTTGCAAACTGTGCATACCACAGGAATTGTTTAGCCTAACACCAAAGTGAAGCCATCTCTGCATGAAATAAGTAACTGTTTAACAATACCTAGCAGTCCTGTGCAAAATTTGTAGAGGAAAGAATCTGCAGAAGGAGAATATAATTTCCCTTCTGTGTCCTAACAAATACCCAGGGGATCCTTGGATGCCCACCGCAGCAGCCATCTGATCTTGAAAATAAGAAAGGCAGCTTTTATATGCGCCCGTAGACTCAAGGCACTACGGAGGAGGGCAGCATCATCATCCTCACTTGTGACCGACCGAGGAAGCAGGGGCACCGCATGGCAGCACCCTGTGGCATCTGCCCAAGCTCACCTGTCCACGTCCTCCGCTGGGTGACGGTAAAACTTTGACACTGCGACTGGGAGTTACAAATCGCGGCGGCTTCCTCGGCGCTGTGAACGGAGAGCAGGCATCCCAGGTGGCTGTAGGAGGGCCAGCATTTGTAGTCTCCTTCCACTGTTCGGAAGCCCTTTAGGGAGATGTAGTCTGGGACAGAAAGAAGGTATTTAGGGAAACTCTTTAAGTGCACTTTCAGAGACTAGTTACAATATACACTTCAATGAAACTCTTGAAGAACTGTGATAGTGGTAGATTGAACTGACCTGCTTAGATCGAGTGGGTGGAGCTGCAAAGCTAAAAGAAACCCAAATCCTGGCTTTTAGTTCTGCAGGACAGCAACTCCTCCACGGATATAAGAGAGGGGGCAGAGCTCTCAAGGGTGAAGGCACAAGGGCAGGTGAGAGGGAGGCTGCTGTGCAGACCCACCTTTCTAGCAGGGCTCCGGAGAAGCCAACCTCACAACGGCCTCTCCTACATCTCAGCCCCAACTGCAGAACCAGCTCATCACAGATCCAGCACCGAGCTACACAGGGCACGCGCTGATCCACCCGGCATGGTGCCACCCACAGGTACAGGAGATCTAGGAACCCCGGTGGGGGAAAGGGAGGCCAGATCCTCCTCCAGCGGGATACAAAAGACCTGACAAGCCTGAGCAGGCAATGTTCAGGCTATTGTTCACTGACTGCTAAGACTCTCTCCCCACCTTCCCACACCTCTGGGATGGTGATCATTTTGGCGCATTGCTACTGGGCCAGTTGCGAAGCCAACAGGTAGGTGTTGTTGGAAAATACTGGCAATTCCTGTTAAAGCTGCTGGTCCTTCAGTGGGAATGACTGGATATCTTTGCTCATAGCTGTGCAAATTACAGTTCTTTCTCACATAAAGACATTTCCTTCTGCAAGCTGCCATCATCACCCCACCATCGCAAGTAAACGCTCAGGAAAACATAAGCCACAGTAACCACTGGACTTTGGAAGCCTTCCTTTTCATTAGCCTCATCTCTACCACCGAATGGGTCCTTTTCAGAGGAATGCACCTCACAGAGGCTCATTTATCCATCCACAGGTCCAATAGGACGGTCTTCAGAAAAAGGAAGTTTAGAGGGTACCAAGGCCCTAGCTACTCTACCGCACTCATCTCGGTGTTGTGACCTCCCCACTGTACGTTCCCATAATAACGTGCTCAGCAGTCAGAAGCCACCAAGTGAAATGGGAAGTTTCAATATCAGCCCGGAACACCGACCTACTGGTCCAGAGGATAAGATGACCCCGAAGAGTGACACGAGAGACTCAGTTTGCTACTCTGGTCCAGTTGCTTGAGCTATCCCAAACACACGCACTTGAAACACTGATGTACATTAGGAGAAGAGTATTTAGAAGCAGTGCAAACATATGTCCATATGTAGGCCAGATTGTCTGCACTGCATTTACGTTGCAAAACAATGCAATCTTGCATAGCTCCCATGAAGAAACAACAAAAGGCTGCTCAAGAAAAGATACTTTTGGTGCTTTTCCTAGTGACTAAATACTGCTTGAATGTATGGGAGATGAGAATTTGACCAGTTACCAAGTTCCTCACTCTCTCAGTAATTATGTTACTTAAAGCATTCAAAATCATGTACCTTTTAAATGAAGAGGTCTTTTCTGCAGATAGAGCCCAGACTTGTACAGATGTAAAACCTTTTCAAAAGCTTCCAGGGTTTCATTTATTCCATATCGTAAATCACCTACATTTAAAGAAAGAGATGACAGATGAGTAATTCCATGAAATACCATTCAGAGACTTCTAATAAAGAATTTTACGAATATTAGCTGGTACCTGTTGCGTTCAGAATATCACTCAAAAAAGGCCGCAAAGCTGGTGGTGCAGAGTGTGGCAAAAGATAGGTGAAAAAATACCTGCAGAAAATCCCACAGACTGATTAGAATACAGCGGCTTAATTTCCCTAGTGATTAAGTTGTCTGCATTTTCCCGTGACTCAATTATCCGTATGAAACTCGTAAGTCGGCTTTGGTTATTAAGTTATGTTTGAGCAGCTCATGGGCACCTCACAGACCGTTCCTGTGAGCTGGGCTGAAACGTTGGTCCTTGCAGCACAGCGTGCAGCCAAGCACTGCGGGAAATCTACTGTGCAAAGGCTCACACAACGGAGCTTTCCCTCATTCCCCAGGGCCGTTTTTGTGCACTAAGCAATGGATTTCCCATCAAAAAAAAAGATGACGACTCATGCAAGACCTTTCCCTTGTCCTGGAAAGGTCTGGCATTCTTATTATCCCTGGAAAGGCTGGACATTCCCCTATTCATTCCCTGAACCTTCTAGAAAACGCCTGTTATACAAGAGACAAGTTCGTTACAGCAAGGCTGTAATCGATGCAGGGATTTGCCCTTTAACACCGTGTCCTGCAAATACAAGCTCCCTTACTAAGTCCTTCTGTGTAAATACCCAGCTTCCCCCGGCACTTGACCTGCCAAACATCAATGGCGAGTGCAAGTCCCCATGCCTTCAGCTCTCAGCCCGCTGCCCGTGACCTGTTTCACCTCTCTTCCATAGGTGCCCGTGGTCTCCGTAGGGAGACAGGGAGCTCAAGGGAAGAGTTAGCCAGCCTGTTCCCAACAACGGGGGCTCAAAGCTGGTGGGCTTTGGCAGGTAGCCCGCTCTGCCACTGCCTTCAGCAAACGTAGCCCGTGGATGTCAAATGCCAGGGCTTGTTTAGCAAACAATAAATTCACAGGTGCAACCTTTGGGGCAAATTTCTAGAGGGCGTTGAGGAAAGGGATCAGCAGAAGAAAGATGCCTGCATTCTTACCAGACAACAACTACATTATTTTCCTGCCTTAAAAGGAAAATAAACTTGCTTCAAAGCGATCCTTAACTACCCTTTGACAGAGGTGAGGGGGAATCACTCCATGGAAGAAACGCAAGATGCTGGAGGCTACGTGGCAGTGCGTGAGCTCAATCATGCCAGATTTTCCCCCCATCTTGCTGGACATACCGATACGCATTGAAAAGATTCTTCTTTTCATTTATTCCTTCACATTTCCCAACCACAGAGCATTTGAGAGGAAAGCTTTTTGTAGGGAAGTCGAGTGTGCAGTCGTTATCTTCCTTGCATGACAGTTCCTCAGTGCTGGCATCATCCATGTCTGTCACTTTTAGGTTTCCATCCACCATAACAAACTGCCTCGGCTGGAAATCCAACAGGACTATTGAACCCAGGGGGGAGTGTGCCAAGTAAAACAGCAGTCTCACAAGACTCAGGCAAATCTGAGAAAGAGAAGATGAATATGCATGGGGAAAACAGATGAAAAACAGCTATTAAATTGGAAGTAGAACAAAGGAGAGGGCATTCAATGAAATTAAAGGGGAAAAAAAGGCATATAGTACTTAAAAGGTAATTATGTGTACGCTACAAAATTTATTATCAACATTGCCACAGGATTTGACTGTGGTAAGTAGTTTAGCAACATTTTTTAAAAACGTGCATATACAAAAAGAGACATTTGCAGTTAGAGGAACTAGAGGAGAAAGCTGTGAGGAAAACAATAGCAGCCTTCATGTTTCAGGAGCTATATTGATTTTCTAGCTGAAATCAGAAGGGTTTTTTCCCACTCTGGCATAGAATTAATACATTCCCCTCCCTTCCCCCATGCTGCTCCATACAGACTGAGGCTCCATGGTCATTAATACCAGATTCATGCCTTGCTGCATCACTCAGCAGTATGAATTTGAGCACACAGTCGTGCTTCTGAAGAATTAGCGAAAGCATGCAATGCGTTTATTGCCAGCTTTTTTGCTTTTATGGCAACTTTCTGGCAGCAGGGAAAGGTCAGACAATACCTGATCCAGCAGAAAGCTCGGTAAATGATTTTTGAACAAACTAGAGCTAGAAGAGCGCATTTATACTGCACCAGCACTTTGTTCAAGTAGCTTTTAGCAGCAGTTTTCATTCCGTATCGGGAGCCCTGGCATCAGACAAACTGTATCGTCAGCTAGGTGTGCCAGGCAGACCCGCGCCACCCCTCGCTGCCCCCGATAGCGATCTGTGCAGGCGCGAGGGTTGGTTCATTTGGAACAGCTCGCAGAATCGCTGGTATCTGATGTGGCTCATCAGAGGGGAATCCCATCTGTTTAGACGCCCTAATTAGGAAACAGGACTAGACAGTACCAGTGTAAATTCTGAATTAGTGTCTTCATCAGTCAAAAGATTATTAAAATCTTAATGCCACCATACCAGACCTTACCACCAGCTAATCCAGCACCATGGGTTTCTAGCTCTAGAAGAGACTTTGGCACATTTGAGAAGATGAGGTGCTGGGAAAGCTATGAAGAAGCCAGTATGAAATAGCTTGTAAGCAGGAGTTGAACTCCACGGGCCAAGAGAAATGACTCTGGAAGCTCTGATGCTATTTTAACCTCATTAGTGAAGCAATCATAAGCATCCCAGCTTCACATCCCGCAGCTGAGCGAGCACAGTTGCCACACTCCCCCTCTGGCTTGGATGGCAAGGCTCCTCTTCAACATTAAGGACCACATGCAGGCAGGGATTTTATTTTAGGACTTTTGTTGTGTTTTTATTTTGCCCAAAGCATTTCTTAGTGACGTTAAGGTACCCATGCTTCTACTTGATGCTCTCTTTCCTCCTGGGAACCAAACAAGTAGTAGTGAACCCCCAACTGAGACCTTGAGGCACACTGTAATACAAGCTATAACCAAAATAAGTGCCATGTCATAAGCCATTTATGTTCCTGGGGAGCTTAAGAGTCCCTGTGCAGGATGCTTAGGAGACCAGGCAGATCTCACTGACAGGGATGTGATTCTAGCACCTACAGCAGGAGGAAAGCAATTTAGTAGTGTTTGTACGACAGTAATACCTAAAGGGCTAAGATCAGAAACATCATACAAACACATGGTGAGAGACAGGCTGCTCGGCTTGCTGCCTACAACAGGCAATACGCAGAAAACAACAGACTCGTCGCGCGGCGAGGTGGCTTCCCCAAGTCAGACCCAGCCTGCTGCGGGGCCTCGCTAGGAAAGCCCCTCTGGGGAGCACAACACAGAGGGAAAGCTGGCAATGTGGCGTAGCGCTGGGTATGAAACACCACCCCGGCCCTGAGCAAGATTTTGTGGCCGTTTCCTCGCAGATGGAGCTCTCTTAACACCGCTTCAGAGAGAAGGGATGTAACAGCCAGACGCCAGGCTAGGGCTATTTTAATGTGATTTAAAAGGAGTGAAAGCAAAACGATTTAAGGACAATTTGCGGGAGCAAACAGCGCGCCAGCATGACAATCCCGTTTGCCCCAGCAGTCACCCGGGCTCTTCGCTTCTACCCAGTTTGCGGTCTAAAAGCGACTGATAAAACTCCCTTTGCTTTGTTTTCTTACTTTAAATCTCTCCTCCCAGGGGGTCTGCAGAAGCTGAATCATCTCCAGGGGGGATCCCAGCTCCAGCATAGCTGTGACCCGCAGTTCAGGATCTCCGCTGTTATCGTAGCATTGACCGTGCAGCTGCCGGGAGAGAAGGAGCGATCGTCAGAGCGCCGCCA